TGTGTTTTTGCAAAATGGATGTTATCTAGAGCAGTGTTTTGCAGTTCAGACCAGTAGACATCTCCACATATTTGCTCCTGCCCAGCTTCCAGTAGGGGGACTGGGACTGCCTGTTAGGGAACTGGGAGGGACAAAAATGTGTACCGTCAGTGGGTCCCTGAGGATCGTTTAGAGAAACACTGACCTAGAGGTTAAAAATGCATGGCTCTTTTTTGCCTGGCCATGTTGATCGATTTGCACATGAGCGTCGCTCTCTTGTAAATACTGCAACAGGTCAAAGTCCCACCTAGACTAACAGCCACTTCCCTCAGATGTGGCTCTTTGAGCATCGAGAACGTGTTCGGGGAACAGTTTTTGAACGCTGCCCTAGGTTTCAGATCAAGGAAGAGGACTAATGACCAAACTAACAAAGTAAGTGTCTTGAATAACCAACTGAAACTTGTTAGAGTTGTTGATTTCCATTCTTTAATTTTTGCAATCTGCAAATAAATAAATGCGGGCAAGTAGTGCAACAGGGAATAGATCCATAGTGTACTGGTTATCAGTTCTAGGCCCTGCAAGGGCTCTGCTCTTGTACCCTTGAACCAGGTCCTTTACCTGAACCTCTCTAGCAAAAAATAAGAGTATGAATCACATAGGTCTTCAGCGAAAAATGTTAGCTAGCAACTAAATGAAAATCTGATGCCGGTACCAAGGAAAGACTCACTGCAAGGCCACAGGAGCCAAGAGGCCTCTGGAACGAGATCCAGCCGCCAGCTAACACGACAACTAGCGGCCAGCTAACACCTTCCTCCACTTCCTCATTCATCCTGTCACAGCCTGTTCAGGATGTTTCGTAGCAATTGCCAGTAAACAAGGCAGAACCGAAACGGGAATGAATGGGTCAGTGGCGAGCGAGAGCTATCACATTGTTTTTCGGACACAGTGCGCTTGAAACGAGATCCCGCGTGTTTTTTAAATGTCGCGGCTAACAAAGAAGCGACTAGAAAGAGGATCCAGCCCTGGCGTACCCATTCAGGGGACAACGTGACATCAAGGCCCCGTCTGTCTCTGAATAAGCTTCCCTCGGCTATGGGCGTGTGGCACAGACAGTGGGCCGGAGTTTGGCACAAAGGGGGCTTAGTGTGTACGGGTGCGTAGCCAGGAGAGAAAGATGGGGAGCTTAACCCCGATTGTTAGGCCGGGATTCCTGTGTGCAGTGTTCTGTGTACGTATGCAGGTGGCGCCGAAATGTCCGTACATATACGCCTCAGTGTTTGTGCATATGTCCCTAAAGAAGCCAGCTGAATTGGTTCGGATATCAGTCTAGTTCACCTCCTGGCTTCTCCCTGGGGAAATGTTTTGTGCATGTGCAACTGGGTGGAGACCATGGGGCAGATGCCTTGGTATTCCCCAGTGGAGCTAGAGGAGGTGGTTAGGGAGAGGGAGATCTGGGCATCCCTGCTCAGACTGCTGTCCCTGAGCCCTGGCCCCAAGTAAGAGGAGGAGAATAGATTGATGGATGACTGTCACAGGAGAGTCACCCATTTGCTGTGATCAATCCTGATCTGACCCAGCAATCGAAGGCCCTGTCGCATGAGAGGAAGGTGGCTGGTTGCTGAGAGAGCGCAGAGTAGAGGTAGACAGCTGGGAGGTGGCAGTGCTCATGCTGTCGGCCAGCTAGAGCTGGTGTAAACAGACAGGGGTGATGGGATATGCCACCTTTCCGGAAGGTTCTAAGCTGCCACTAAGAGCAATTAGAACAGAAGAGAGATCCTTTATTCCTTCCTGTGGGAAGATTCTCTTTTCGCCTACCCCATCTTCATAAGGCACACGCGTAAGTGAGAGCAAACAAGGGGGTCATAGCACCAGGTCAGCCAGCGTGCAGTGCCCCAAGAGTGGGGGGGGGGGGGGAGGTTAAAGGCCTCGCTCCAGGGGCCCAAAGGCAGCATCAGTCTGCTGGCCCTGGGATTTAAACCAGTGACCTTCCAACCACAGGACCTGAGTCCTAACCTACTGAGCCTCATGCTCACCGCGACGCTTTGATGCTTTAGGGCCTTGAAGCTACAGCTACAGAGAGCTGTACAGGTTCAGGCAATGTTCTGTGATTTAGGACCTCAGTTACAATTCACAGTGTGCAGTGAACAAGCCGCAGTTCCCTAAAGTTCATATGGAAACTATATTATGTAATAGAGTTTCAGGAAATATAGCATGGCCAATCAGATTTATTTATTTTATTTTTTTCTGTGAGCGGGATGGTTGATGGGTTCCAGGGTTGCTCAGGGGCCCAGCTGTGAAATCACTCTGCCAGCCCTGGGATTTGAACCAGCGACCTTCTGATCACAAGCACCCACTGAGCCACACATCATCCCCCAGACAGCTAATTACACTTTTTCTCAAGCAGAATTTATGATTTTTCTGGAATATTACACACAAAAAAGCTATTCGGTTGCACGGATTGAGCTGAATCTTCTGCCTGTCTCTCAAATTTGCACGCATCCGAATGCAGACAGCAGGTTACATAGCATCTCTCTTTTCTTGTGAATTCTGTAAGGTTGTCATGTTTATATAGGAGGGTAAAGGTCACTGTGTAAACTTAACAGCCCTGGGAAAGAGAGATCTTGGTATTTCAGGCCTCGAAGAACAAACAGAGCCAATTATAGAAAACAGATCAAAGTTTTAACAAGCGGGTCAAGGATATGTGCAGTTTAACCTCATCGCTCTTCGCCTTGTGTAGCATCTGGGTGTTAGGGGCTGTTTTGGTCTCTGCTACTTTCTGCTCATAAACAGGATGTTTGTCTGGAAGCCTCAGGGTCACTGATTAGTGCTGAATGCCCAGTTTCGTCTCAGAACAATAAATTAGGGGTTGAGCTCCATGATAACAAAGAATGTTTTGTCACGGTTCAAACTGTAGCCAGTGTTTTGAATTTAATGTCCGAGTGAGTCACGGTGGTTAATCTCCGATCCCCACAGGTTCAGGTTTGGGGTGCAGCCAAGGCAAATCGTGCAAATAATGATGCCACGATTAGTGAGTGGCGCCCTGGCTGGCAGGGGTCAGGATTAATGAAGTTCTTCACAAACCACTAGTGAACTGCATCATTTTGGCTGGGTGAACATTGATGTATCTGATTGAGTCTCAGGCTCCCTGTACTTGAAAACTCCAGTGGTCTGATGGTTCATAACATTAATGACACTTTATCGACCTCTCTCTTTTTTCTCTTTTTTGCCTATGCTGTCTTGCTCTACATGAGACACATAGGTGAGAACAAACTTGGCAGCAAAGGGCAGGGACCTGCAGCAGTTAAGGGCCTTGCTCAAGGGTCCACAGCTGTGGCTATTATACAGAGGCCAGGACTCAAACCAGTAACCTTCTGATCACAGTCACAGAGGCTTAGCCTACTGCGCCATATGCTTCTCCTCAATTCAATGAACACAGATAAACCAGGAATCCTGAGGAGCTACCTATCTATCTATGACTCTGCAGTCTTCACGATCGCTGCTTTACCGAGAGACTCCGTGACCATCTAACAGAGGAATAAATCGTTGTTGGCTCCAGGCCATCGGATTATGTGATGTTGCCTCAAGTGGCAGAGGTGCCTTGTGGTTCGGCTTGGCGTGAAATAAAGGCCACTTTTAACGCGCGAAGTGCAGTGATCACTCTCAGATGTCAGGCAGTGTCTCCTGTTTCCTATGGTTTACACATAAGTGCACGAAACCCGCCAAGGAACCGGAATTTCTCACTGTTTCACACAAATCAGCGGCTGTCAGTGTTCCTAGAGCTCAGTGTAAAACTCAGCCATCTATAACCTTTTTTTCATTAATCACTTCATCAAAAGAGAGGCTAATTATATAACTTTAAGCCCCTAATTTCACTGGCTACACATCTGCTTTTTTTGTGGAACAGCATGTTCCTCCTGGCCACGCCCCTCCTTTCTCATATCATCCCTTTGCTTGGGTGGTATGAGGCTCAGTGGCTTAGTCCCCTGTGTCTGGGAGCAGATGGTTGTGGGTTCAAATCCTGTCCTCAACAGAATAGCCATGTTTCCCGTGAGCCCTTGACGAAGGCCCTTATCTCCGCCCAACATGCTCCCGGGACAGCAGATAAATGGCTGCTTCTGCACTCAGCAGTTTATGAGTGTGTGTCTCACCAGAGAGCCTGACAGGACATGTGATGAGAAGCATTCCAAAGTACTTGTGCAAATGGCGAATACAGCTTTTCATTCCCTTAGCGTACTGCATGTGATTGGCTCTGAAATGGCTGCCAGATAAGCGACTGGTTTTGTTTTGGGCCCCATAGCGCTGCCAGGTGGAAGAAGTTGACATTCGACACACGTGTGGGGCAAATGTTTCGGAGCGATGGGCGTAACGGCCGGTCACCGATGGGCAGAGCCCTGCTGAGGCAGCGGTACTGGCGCCCCCTCAGGTCACCTCTGCTGCAGCTCAGGCTGTGGCTAACACGTGTTACAAGGTGAGCTTTGCCAAGGGAGAAGTCATGTGACACGCCCCAACCCCCCCCACTACAAACCACGCCCCACCCCCAGCTCCCACAAAGCCACGTGTTCCGTTATTTAGTTTTTAGTGAGCAGGAGATAAGGACTGAGCTGACAGCTTAGGAACAGGGATCTCAAGTGAGGGGGGTTTGTTTGTCTTTCTCTTTTGTGTATGTGTGTATGTGTGTGTGTGTGTGTGTGTGTGTGTGTGTGAGTTAGAGAGAGAGAGAGAGAGAGAGAGAGAGAGAATACCTGCCTGCATTTCCCCATGTCAGTCACTCTGCTCAGCCAGCGGAGTCGAATTTCAACTCAAGCTACTCACCAGCGGCACGGGAATAACGGGGTGGGGGGTCTCCCCAGCTCACCTGCCTGGCCGTCCTTTCAGACCAACAGGCTCTCGTGGAACCTTCCGGAGCACGTGGAGAGATTGTGAGTTAAGGAGGAGAGCAGGGCTATGAGGAGGGGACAGACTGAGTGTGAGTATTGCGTGCGTGCGTGCATGAAACACGACCACATATACACGAACAGAGGGGAGGGCAGTCAGCCACTTACTACTGTGCCTTTAGCTTGGGGGCTACCCGCCCCCCGGCAGAGTGAGGGCAGGGAGGAGGAGGAGGTGGGCTGGACTGAGCAGGAGGATGAGCGGTTGCCAGAAAGCACGAGTGTGAGGAGGCGAGGAAAACAGCGCGGAAGATCCACGCCGTGAGGCAGGTCCGGGCCGGCGGGATTTACTCGCACCTACGGCTCACTGCCGCATTCTCCAAGCCTGCCACGGCTCTGGGTCTCGCCGCTGTTTGGCGAGCTGCCAGTGTGCTGCTGTTCACGGCGCAGAGAAAATTTTTGGAATACTCTTTTTTGGAGTATCTGTTCTTCTGTGTGAAGTCTGAGGTTCTTCTTAGGCTCTATTTGCGTCAGAAAGACTTTTCCGGTTGGGATCGGACTCCGGAGCTGGGAAACATTTTCTGGAGAAGCTCATGCTCACGTGTTAGAGGCGGTGTGAGAACGACTACAACTCTGTTACAGAGCACATCTGTTTGACAGCCTTTGGTCCTCCCCAGGAACAAGGCAGGACGTGTAGGAAGGCAGAACTTCTTAGATAAAATACTGTCTTTCTGTGGGGCTGGTAAAAACTGGATGTCTCTTTCTCTCTTTCTTTTTGGGTCTTCCAGGATTAACGTTTACATTTGAGGAGCGGGAGAAGGGGGCGGGGCGGGGGACACCAGGAGAGGATGTCAAGGCGGAACTCTGTGGGGGACCTGGTGCCCCGGGATATCACGGAGGTCCTGGCCCGCGAGGCCAAGACCAACAAGGCCAAGAGGAAGAACGGAGGGTCTCTCAGCCGGGCCCTGGGCTGGTTCCGGGGAGACAGGAAGAAGAACAGAGATGGAGGGGGCAGGCCGGAGCCCCGAAGCAGGGCAGCGGACAGTCAGATGGCCGAGCAGAGCCACACTGAGCCAGTCTGCACCAAAGGTAAGAGCTGAATCTGCCTGCTTGGTCATTCTGCTCCCCTAGGCGTGGAGATGCTGTCGTTTCATGGCCGGAATGTTACTCTTGCTGACATTGTTCACCAGGTCTAATTGTCCGAGTTCAGTAGTGCTAAAACTGATCCCTGAGCCTGGGTACTGAGTTACCCTACTCTTCCTCTTTCTGGGTCATTTTCTGTCACGTCGTCTGATTGTAGGATGGGTCAGTCTCATGGTTTATTCTCGAAAGCCCAAAATCACCATGCATGTCTTCTTGAGGTATGGCGAGTCATTCTTGTCTTCTGTAGTGGACATTCTGTTTTTGCTCATATCTCTCAGACGGTACATGCCTCCCTATTAAGTCCTGTTGTTCCCTGAAGAGGACAGTTAGGGCTTTCGGATGACATCACATGTGCGGGGTTGTGCTTTTTACTATCCCAGCACTGGATCTCAGCAGGGGGCCTGGGTGGGATGTGTAGAGGGATGTGTGGGATGTGTAGAGGACCCCCGTCATGCTGGCAGTGCTTGATGTCACTCGTGTTCAGTGTGCCACGCCCACAGCGACCAGGCCACGCCTCTTCAGCCTGTTCCTGTGTGGGACCTGCGTGGCTTAACCCTGAGTGCCAGTCTCAATCAATATTCCTTCTCCTAATGGGTGAGCAGAGACTGAGCAGATACTCATAGCCTGCATCTCCATACCGTCTCAGGTCTTCACTGGCCAGCACCCTTCCCAAGACACTTCCATGTGCTGGTCTCCTGGAAGCTCCCTGTAGTCTGAGAGGACGGTCATTTTTGTTTTGTGGTTTATTGTCTTAGCAGAGAGGACTTTTCTGTAATAACTGCTCTGTATCTTGTGACACTCGATGATCTCAGGCTTTAGTAGGATATAATGCATTTTTATGTAATAGAGAACAGCTGGATGACTCATCCCGCTTTTTTTTTTGATGGGTAACATTGAAGTGTAATTGTTTACAGTCAGTCTAGTCGCCTCTTTGTGGGGCTTTACACAGAGAGGATTTCGCCGATCCGTTTGTCGCTGTCAGACTTGGTGGTGACCACAGGAAAGCGGGGAGAAAATTCGGATCACGTTTCCACCAATTCTCTGCCTTTTTTTTGGGGAAGTTTCATTCACACACAAGACAATTTCACACAGGCTGTTTCGTTTTTGACTGGGGACAAACGGCAGCAGAAACGCAGGACGTCCTGAAGCTCCTTCTCAGAAACCTGCTTGGCCGCTTTCCGGCGAGGCGGGGAGGTCCATAAAACGGGGCCGTCCGCAGTGCCTGAGGGGGGCTCGCCGGTTCTCCCTGCCCCTCCCTCTCCAAACATTACCCCACACTTGCCTCTGTAAACCCACGGCAACTGTGAGACTTCCAGCGTGCTCATAAATTATTTACCCCCCTTGCCCCCAATCCCACCAAGGTGGCTGGGATCTGCCTGATTCCACTTGACAGAATTTTTCATAGTGGGGGGAGGCACAAAGCCTAAAGACTGTGGGGGGGGGGGTGCAGAGGACACAAAGCTTTATTGAGCCAGAGTGATGACTTACACCAGTTACTCTGCAAACACTTTTTTTAATTACAGGGACCTCTTCTCTCTAGTGCCTCTCTGCTGTAAAAGTCGCTGCCGTCGGTCCTGTGAATATTTGCATATTCTGTTTGGCCATTTAGGACGCTTCTCATGGCTCGATGTTTTTATCCCGGCTTCTGTTTTTCAGCATATGTGTTGTGGGCAAACCTATGTGTGTTTTTATGATCCTACACCAAAGGGCCCCGTCCTTTCTTTCGGTTTGTACATACAGTCCAGACTTTGCCTCATGTCATTAAAGCGGACGGCTGAGGATCGCCCCCTAGCCAGCGTTTAAACAGTAGGGTGTTGACTGAGGCTCGGCAGAGGTGTCGGGCCGCCAGCAGCTCGGAAAAACCACGCCGGTGCCACGTCGTAAAGCCTTCTGGCCAACATTACAACCCAAACATCCGTCACTTGTTCAGACGGCCAGGTATTTACGCAGGAGGCTGCTTAAGGGATGTGGCGCCTTAACCGTGGCGCCCCCAGGCCTGTGTGGCGCAGCATGATCATTACGCCACCGTAAGGCTCACAGATGGTGGTAGGGTGGGGTAGGCTTTGGAATCTGGGGGTTTGTGTGTGCGTGTGTGTGTCAGGGATGGAGGTGCGTGACTTCATCCTGCTGTTGGCTGTCCAGGTATGGGGGGGGTTACGGTTTCAGAGGCAATAGCTCTCAACGCCCCGGTGTCCCGTCTCACCCCCCGTCAGAATATTTGGGAATTTAACTTGATGACATCATCGTTTGCACCATGTTTTCTGGCATTTTACTTTTTCGTGCCGCCGCCCCCCCGACACCCCCCCCCCCCACCTAGGGCTGGCTCTAGCTATAAGCAGAATAACCAGCTGATAGGGCCCCCAAATTACATGCTTTGTGGAGGAAGTGAAATGATAAACAGTTTTCTTGATAGGGGGGCCTCCCAATTAAAGCTTTGCCCGGGGCCCCTGGGGAAACCCTCGGGGCCCATGGGGGCTGCTGGGCAACAGCACCACACGTTTACCCTGCAGAAACATCTTTTACGTCACGTGAGCCTGTCTCCACGGCAACAAGAGCATGCTGTGGACGCAGCCCTATAGGCGGCAGAGGGCAGCTCAGCAGGCAGGCTGCAGAAGCAAATGCGGCGTGGCGGACAGGAGGCATGCGCTGACATCACCGCATCTGCAGCTTACTGTGCGGTCATGTCACATCCCATGGAGGATTTGTGTGGCCACTACGCCGTGTATGGAATGGTTTCCATATCAGTAGTATTATTAGTGCAGAATGTTAATTTTAATGGTAACAGGTGGGCTGCCACCTCCAGGGTTGTGGGTTTGATTGCTGCCTGATGTCTGGGTAGGCGTGTGAGTGTTGGGTGATTTGGGTACTCTGGCATCTTCACCCTCACGCCCAGCACTGCCTGGGATAGAATCCACCTTCACCACGACTTCCTTAACTTGCTGAAGTGTTTACTGTTAGGTAACCTTCCACTGGACCCACAGACAGTCCACATTTCTGCTCCTTCCCAGTTCCCTGCCAGACAGTCCACATTTCTGCTCCTTCCCAGTTCCCTGCCAGACAGTCCACATTTCTGCTCCGTCCTAATTCCCTGCCAGGCAGTCCACATTTCTGCTCCGTCCTAATTCCCTGCCAGGCAGTCCACATTTCTGCTCCGTCCTAATTCCCTGCCAGACAGTCCACATTTCTGCTCCTTCCCAATTCCCTGCCAGGCAGTCCACATTTCTGCTCCTTCCCAATTCCCTGCCAGGCAGTCCACATTTCTGCTCCTTCCCAATTCCCTGCC